TTGCTTGCGCAATCTCCACGGTAAATACAATATAAATTAAATTGCTTTTAATATTGTAGACTAATATACTTACTACATAGTTAATATATATATATATATATATATATATATATATGTATAACATATATATAAATAATATATGTATATAAATTAAAACACACACACACACACACACACACACATACACACACACACACACACACACACACACACACATATATATATATATATATATATATATATATGTATGTATGTATATAAATTTTCAGAAGAGCTGATTGCAATCTAACGGAAAGATATTGCAATATGAAATTGTTTCATTACCTGAGGCAATGTTCGGTGAGAGAAAAGTGGGAGAGATTTAAGAAACAACCTCATAGTCAGCAGCTTTTGGAACGGGGTGCTACTATTGTAGCACAATGGTTCCAATCCCAAAAAGATGTATTTTATTCGTTTGTAAAAGCGTCACTAGATAATATCGCATTAGAAGTATTGAATTACCTCAGAGGAAAACACCCTGACCATTCAATATTTTCGATTTCTGCTGAAAATTTTGCCTACTGGAAAAACAACAACATCGACGATAATCATTGGGATGAAATGGAAGGAACGCAAATTATGGATGCACTCGAGGAATATATATTTGACATATTAAACTTTAAACCAAACAAATCGAAAAACACAGATTTGGAATACATGTGTATAGATAATGTAAGTTATTAAAGATTTATATTATAACACATTGAAATTATGCCCAATTATGCAATTAAACATGACCATATATTCGTAATATTACTTTAAAAGCACACCTTCTCTCTCTTTTTCTCTGTAATTAATTTATTGTATTGTAATTACTGACACAGGTCTTAGAAAATAAATATGGCCAAGAAATAGTTATATTAATAATATATCACAGTGTGGCGAGGAGACTTGGCCTACGTTGCGATATAACAAAGATGCCATATTGCTCCCGTAGATATATATTTTGGAAACCAAAATAGTAAGTATAATATTAGATTAATAGTTATCCGAGTTTGTCGATATTTTCTTCTTATCATACATATACACGCACACATATGTAATTTGTTTTATTATTTATAGTGCTACGAGTAGTTTAGAAGATGCAAGATCTTTTAGCATAAGTTTTAACACATTCCCGGATTGTCTGGTCGAGCAACGGTGTTCTAGAGAATCTTTGTTAGCTGTAACAGCTAACGAGGTATTATTCATATAATATGATTTTTTTATAAATTTAACTCTAATTAATTTAAACTTGTAACACCTTGACAAAGATATGAGCCAATGAAACACTTTAGGCAGAAAAAATGCAATTTGTTCTTTTCTGTTTGTTAGAGAAGTTCTGTTCATATGTTACATCTATTTTTTTAGATACTGCTGGACATGCTAGAAATACTTTTAGATTTAGAATGGCGTAATAACACTTTAATGGTTACCCCGCAGGAAATGGAATTTGGATTTCACGTCTGGAGTAAGAATTTAAAAGAGGTATTTTAGCATTATATATACCACATATTAATATATAATAATAATAATTCTCTGACATTTCTTTTTGACACATACAATTATATATGAATTATAATTATTTATAATTTAATTAGCTGTAATTGAAAAGCTTTCTACAAAATTCCATTTCTAGAAATTACTTGACAAGAGATATCCATTAACATCTTATTTTACATTTTTCAGCTCATTTTTCACCTTAATGAAATAAAAGAATCAAATATAAGACCAAAGGAAATAAAATTTGCGGTTGGAATGATTGTAACATATAATCAAGAAAAATTTAATCACTCTGCAAATAGTTCTGCCGGTGTAATAGTCGGATGGCACCGACATGAAGATAGACATCATGTGAAATTTTCGGTAAACGAATTAATGGATCCTGTGTTACCATTAAAGTTTATCGATGACAATTTTAATAGCACAAAAGCACATTACATAATACTTAATGAAAATAACGAAATGTGTTATGTCGAAAAGGGTATGAAAATCATTTTGAATTTTTATTTTAAATTACATTTGTTAATTGTACGAACTCGCCTCTTTATATACAGGGTGTCCGTCGATTTTCGACCTAAATGAAATAAATAAGTAGATTGGCTCGAATTAAGAAGGAATGACCTGTATTGTTTTGGGATTGTCGCAATAATTAACGAAATATTAAATAAAAAAGATTGGCCAATCTGCGTGAGTAAAAGCGCGCGGCGACGAGAGTCGTCCCACCGTAATCCGATACTACGAGCGCGGCGAAGCGGTGGGCGGGTCGCTCTCCGAGACATGATGGTGGTTTGCGATATATCGCAATACCGCGCCGAAAAATGACCCGTCCCCCCTTTTCGTGGCGAGAAAATGATGCGCTATCATTTCCACACCACCTTGCGGTAGATAGCATGGTGCGCTTTTTTTATAGTGGTTTCCCCCATAGGCCTATTCCACTCTCAATTTAAAAATTATTCAAAATGCCATTTACTATACACTGAATATATCGTAAATGTAAAAAATTAATGGACAGTACCTTTACAAAAATTGATTCGTGGTTGAAAATTCCTCGATAAAATGTATTGCACACGTTGATAATGTGATACGATGATAAAATTCTTCAAGAATCCTTTCTTCATCTCCTCCACGAAGACGCACTGCTGGACCGGTTATCCCGATGTTATGCACGACACTCAGTTTCACATAATTATTGCACACACGTAAAATTGTACGGCCACTTGGTTTTCGTGCACACCCGAGAAATGATTCCATGTAAATTGCGGCCGCATGATAAGTATTTTCTCCCGCTAGTCCGTATGCCACAATCATATCCGTATATTCCTGCAGAGTACACTTCATTTTCTCTGTTAATTTACTACGCAAACACAAGATTTTTATTAAAACGTCTAAGCTCTCGCACGCTGTTACCAGACTGCGTACGCCAGCAGCACGCAACTACAGCTGACAGCTGAGCGGACATGCAAGTGTAAGCGTACGTGTGAGTTCGACGCCTGCGCACTATGATTACACTCGCATGTCCGCTCAGCTGTAGTTGCGTGCTGCTGGCGTACGCAGTCTGGTAACAGCGTGCGAGAGCTAAGAACTTTTAATAAAAATCTTGTGTTTGCATAGTAAATTAACAGAGAAAATGAAGTGTACTCTGCAGGAATATACGGATATGATTGTGGCATACGGACTAGCGGAAGAAAATACTTATCGTGCGGCCGCAATTTACATGGAATTATTTCTCGGGCGTGCACGAAAACCAAGTGGACGTACAATTTTACGTGTTGTGCAATAATTATGTGAAACTGAGTGTCGTGCATAATATCCGGATAATCGGTCCAACAGTGCGTCTTCGTGTACGAGATGAAGAAAGGATTCTTGAAGAATTTTATCATCGTATCACATTATCAACGCGTGCAATACATTTTATCGAGGGATTTTCAACCACGAATTAATTTTTGTAAAGGTACTGTCCATTAATTTTTTACATTTACGATATATTCAGCGTATAGTAAATAGCATTTTGAATAATTTTTAAATTGAGAGTGGAATAGGCCTATGGGGGAAACCACTATAAAAAAAGCGCACCATGCTATCTACCGCAAGGTGGTGTGGAAATGATAGCGCATCATTTTCTCGCCACGAAAAGGGGAGACGGGTCATTTTTCGGCACGGTATTACGATATATCGCAAACCACCATCATGTCTCGGAGAGCGACCCGCCCACCGCTTCGCCGCGCTCGTAGTATCGGATTACGGTGGGACGACTCTCATCGCCGCGCGCTTTTACTCATGCAGATTGGCCGATCTTTTTTATTTAATATTTCGTTAATTATTGCGACAATCCCAAAACAATACAGGTCATTCCTTCTTAATTTGAGCCAATCTACTTATTTATTTCATTTAGGTCGAAAATCGACGGACACCCTGTATAACATAAAATCAAGACATTTTATTTTATTTAGATTTATTTTAGATATTTTAGATGTTTATTCTTTATTTTAATTATTATTTTATTTATATAATCGTTTATTTTAATTATTATTTTGTTTATATAATCTTATTTGATTTATGTATGTTATTTAATTTACCATATATTAATTTATTTTTTACGTTTTACTTTAGATGCTATAACTAAAACAACACCGAAATGGATCGATAATAATGAAATAGGGCGCTACTTTTGTAAATTTGAAGGCACGCATTATGTGCCAAACGAAATGCTGGCGAGGTATTACCCACATGATGCCGCTATAACTGCAATAACATCTGACGATTAGAAAAAAATACATAAATTGTATTCAAAATGCCATTTACTATACGCTGAATATATCGTAAATGTAAAAAATTAATGGACAGTAGTATCTTTACAAAAATTGATTCGTGGTTAAAAATCCCTCGATAAAATGTATTGCACACGTTGATAATGTGATACGATGATAAAATTCTTCAAGAATCCTTTCTTCATCTCGTACACGAAGACGCACTGCTGGACCGATTATCCCGATATTATGCACGACACTCAGTTTCACATAATTATTGCACAACACGTAAAATTGTATGGCCACTTGGTTTTCGTGCACGCCCGAGAAATGATTCCATGTAAATTGCGGCCGCACGATAAGTATTTTCTCCCGCTAGCCCGTATGCCATAATCATGTCCGTATATTCCTGCGGAGTATACTTCATTTTCACTAGTAATTAACTGCGCGAACATAAGATTTTTACTAAGCGTTTTAGCTCTCGCACGTTGTTGCCAGACTGCGTACGCCAGCAGCACGCAACTACAGCTGAGCGGACATGTGAGTGTAAGCGTACGTGTGAATTTTTGTAAAGGTACTGTCCATTAATTTTTTACATTTACGATATATTCAGTGTATAGTAAATGGCATTTTGAATAATTTTTAAATTGAGAGTGGAATAGGCCTATGGGGGAAACCACTATAAAAAAAGCGCACCATGCTATCTACCGCAAGGTGGTGTGGAAATGATAGCGCATCATTTTCTCGCCACGAAAAGAGGAGACGGGTCATTTTTCGGCGCGGTATTGCGATATATCGCAAACCACCATCATGTCTCGGAGAGCGACCCGCCCACCGCTTCGCCGCGCTCGTAGTATCGGATTACGGTGGGACGACTCTCGTCGCCGCGCGCTTTTACTCACGCAGATCGGCCGATCTTTTTTATTTAATATTTCGTTAATTATTGCGACAATCCCAAAACAATACAGGTCATTCCTTCTTAATTCGAGCCAATCTACTTCTTTATTTCATAAAGGTCGAAAATTGACGGACACCCTGTATAACTTTTGACAAATATTATATTAAAACACTAAGAATTCACCTATTATTATGTCAAAATATAATATAAATTATGAAAGACATATTACGCAAAATAAACAATTTAATTCTAAAATATTACAATTATATGTACAAGAGTTTTGTTAAAAAAACTTGTCATCAAGAGACATGATAGTGCCTCGCGCCAAGTTTATGCGAATCATTAACGCGGTACTCCGTGTATCTATACGCGTGTCGGACAGATGAGTGTAATTCAAATTATCGGATTTCAATAACGGCTGAATGGATCGAATTCTTACTATCCTTAATCGATAGAGCGAGTTCGAATTATATTAAGAAAGTATGTTTATTTTTGTGCTGCGTGATCTAGAGACGAAGATATTATATATATATTATATATTAAAGCAAAATCGAAATATAAAAATTTTCAATTAAGAAATATCTTTATCGTCATCGTCATCAACATGTACACACATGTACACAACACATAGGAAGAGAAAAAAAATATTATATATAAATTCTCCCTAAGAAATTGAAGAAATTGTTTATATTTATTCAGAGAAACTTGATGTTTAAAATATTTAATGAGAATTAGGATTCTTTTAATTTTTAAAACATTTTTTATATAATGTATATAATTTAAAAAAAAAAGTTTTACGCAAATTTTAAATTGCAGTCTTTAAATCGAAATAAGTTATGAAAACTTGGTGTGCCCGGATTGTTTACATTATAAACAAATATATCTTCAATAAAATGTAAAATATTAAACATTATGTAATTAAATATTTAATCCGTATTTGATTACGATCTGGGCACGTCAAGTTTTCATAACTTACTTTGGTTTAAAGACTGCGATTTACTTGCGTAAAACTTTTTCTTAATTATATACATTATATAACAAATATTTTAAATATTACTTTATTAAAAGAATCCTAATTCTCATTAAATATTTTAAACATCAATTTTCTCTGAATAAATATAAAATGCGTTTTAATTACTTATGGAGAATTTATGTATAATATTTCTACAGTATAAATTGATTTCATGGCAAATATTATATCAAATTTACAAATTGCTCTTAAGTACTTAGCTAATAGTAATTATTGATTTCATATTTAGTTTTGATATTTTATTTTTTAATATTTTTTTGAATATTTTTAATATTTTTAATATTTTTAATATTTTTAAATATTTTATAATATTTTTTGATGAAAATTATTTGTTAAGGTTTTGTTTTTTAGAAAAAGAATTTTTCGAGAAAAAATTACTGTAAATTATTTATAAGGAATTTTTTTTTAAATATGTATACAAGGTAGAATATTTTTTATGTACTTGGCGTATTTTTCTACCTTTTCTACACACATTAATATTTATTAGTATATTAATATTTATTAATATATTAATATTTATTATAAGGATTTTAAATTTCTGTTCTATAACATATATAATAATAAATTATATAATAATAAAAATTAACACTTTCCATAAATTGCGATTATTTCAAATAAGTTTATATATCTATCTACTTGACTGATAAAAAGGCTGTGAAGTATGACATGGCTGTTTTCATCACCTTAAAAAGAAGCATTAACACATAACATTATAAGAGTTGTTACAAGAAATTTTTCACCCGTTTTCTAATAAAGTTAACGTACCGAATTGAACATAGTCATTGACATAATATACATGTTTGCAGCCGACAACGTGCAAGGCACGAGACTTCTATATAGGAGTATACTCAATAGCTTTCTTGTTTTTAGCGAGAACATGTACCATTGTGCACTATACCTACACGTTAAAAATATTTTGCGCGATAGAGTTAGTGATACTACAGAGACAAAATTATATATTCATTCAACCGATCATATAGTTTCCGAAATAATTATAATAATTAACATTTATAGTAATTATAATAATTAATGGAACTAATAATTAATGGATGTAAATTAAAGCACGGTTTGGATACTTGCGCTTTGTCGAACACTCCAATACTTTTATCCAGAAGTAATTGTCCCGGTAAACACATGCTCAAGAGATGAGTGATCGATCCTACAACTATACATCCAAATCTTATCACTTCCTGAATTTGTCCAAATTTGTTGATTAACTATAATGGATTTATATTTTAAAATTTCTATAAATATTCGAGTCTTTACTTTTTTTATTTTAATGAAAAAATCGAGTATTATTGACGAAGAAAATATAAACTTATATCTGAATATTATTTTATAACTCTTTCTATATATGTATACGTGCAAAAACTTTCTCATATACGCATGAAACGTTAAAAAACTAATAAATTAAACTTTTAAGTAAAACTAATAAATTAAACTTTTAAGTAAAACTAATAAATTAAACTTTTTTTTTCTAATGTAATATTTTATACGTAATATTTTATACGTAATATTTTATACGTTATATTTTTAATAATTAATACTCAAGTTGTTATTTACTTGTATTCCGACTAAACTCAGAAGAATTACGTTCAAACACAAGATGAGAAATGTCGCATATTTGAATGTAGATTCTAACATGTCAATGTATCTAAAAGACAGTAGAAAAAAATTTTTAAAGATGGGATCTTCTATGTAAAATGTGTGATAAAAATTAATCGAATAATATTAATAAAATTATCATTTTTAACATTTCTATTTTTGAATTTTCCATAATACAAACTTTATTGCAAGTTGATGTTTTTTCAAACATACAATCATCTCACAGTAATCTTTAGAATCATATTTTTTTACTACACATTCATTACTCATTATTTTCTCGCCTTGCATAAATTTGTCTTTCGAAAAAATATTTTCAAAACAAATGCTGGGAAAAAGTGAAAGCTATTAAAATCATAAACAATTTACATCAAGATACATACACACACATATATATATATATATATATATATATACATATAATAATAAAATATATAATAATAAAAATTAATAGCCTCGATAATCGCGATTATTTTGCGCAAATTTATGTCTAACTGACTGATAAAAAGGTTGTAAAATATGACATGGCCGTTTGCATCACCTTAAAAAAGAATATTAACATATTATAACATTATATAAGAATTGTTACAAGAAATTTTTCACGCGTTTTTTTTAATAAAGCTAACGTACCGAACTGAACGTAGTCATTGACATAATATACATGTTCGCAGCCGACAACGTGCAAGGCACGACACTTCTATAAAGGAGTACGCTTAATAATTTTGTCGTTTTCAGCGAGAACATGTACCATTGTGCATTATACCTACATAAAAATATTTTTATGTAATAGAGTTCTTAGTTACTGAGGAGACAAAGTTATACAAGATGTTTCTAAACCTATATCAGAGATTTTAAGGGCGTATTCTAGAGATCAAAATAAGAAAAGAAGTTCTTATAAACACGAGTCCAAAAATGCTTTCCCTCCGAATTATAGCCCTCTAAATTTGATTGATTGAAAAAAATCGCTAAATGTATTGAAAAAATGAAGGTCACTATTAATTATTACGCAGTACAAAATTTCAACGTTCTGTGAAAAAGTCTCCGAGAGCTACAATATATTTTGCGTTTTTTTCCACCAATTTTAGAGGGCTATAACTCGGAGGGAAAGCATTTTTGGATCCATGTTTATAAGAATTTTTTTTCTTATTTTGATCACTAGAATACACCCTTAAAATCTCTGACATAGGTTTAAAAACACTCTGTATATTCATTCAACCAATCATATAGTGTTGTTGTTCCGAAATAATAAATTACAATAAATTACAGTAATTCATATTTATATTAATTATAATAATTAATGTAATTTAAATTAAAGCATAATTTGAATACTTGCGCTTTATCGAACACTTCTATACTTTTATCTAGAAGTAGTTGTCCGGGTAAACACATGCTCAAGAGATGAGTGACCGATCCCATAGCTATGCATCCAAACCTTATCACTTCTTGCGTTTGCCCGAATTTGTTGATAAGCTAGAATGTATTTGAGAGTTCTAAATTTTTATAATTTCTAAATTTCTAAATTTCTAAGTTTCTAAGTAATTTCTAAGTTTCTAAATTTCTAAGTTTCTAAATTTCTATAAATATTTCTATCATTTTTTATATTAATGGGTACAAAATATTGTATTGATGGACTAATATATAATTAAGGTATAAACTTAATTATATATCGTTTTATAACTTTTTTATATGTAAGTGCTACGTGTTATAAAATATTAAAAAACTTGAAACTTTCTTTGATTCTTGAATATTTTTTAAATAATTGACTCGTGTAGTAATTTACTTGTAATCCAATTAGACTCAGAATCATTATATTCAAAACTAAGATAAGAAATGTCGCACTTTTAAATGTAGAGTCTAGCATCTGAGTATATCTAAAAATTGGAAAAAAATATTATTAAATGAAAACTTTTATGTAAAATGTGTGGTAATTGAATAATATCGATAAAATTATTACTCATAATAAAATTTTCCATAATACAAACTTTATTGCGAGTTGATGTTTCCTTAAGCATGCAATCATCTCGCAATAATCTTGAGAATTATATTCTTTTATTACTGCCTGTTCTATGTTCATTATTTCCTCGTCTTGCACAAGTTTAGTCTTACACAAAATATTTTCAAGACTCATGCTTGGAAAAAATATAAAATATATTATTAAAATCTCAAGCAATTTATATAGAGATATACTTTAAGGGGATCCCTCAATCTATCTGTTTTATCGACAAAATACTGTAATTTTTGGGCATGTGCCATTTTTTATTGTCTACATAGAATTAAAAATTCTTTTCTACGGTTGAAGTATAGATACAAATGAACACAAGGAAGCCGATTATATTCGTATACTGAGAAAGAAAAAAGTATAAAATTATATATTTATTTATCGATTAGATCAACATGGCGTCTAAAGTTATCACCTCATAAAGACATTAGCCTTGTATAAATGTTTTGTAGCTTTTACGCATAAAACAATAGCATACCCAATAGTGAACTGCACTTGAGGAACTGTGAAAATTGAGTTTAGTAGTCTAATTAATAAATGGCACATGCCCAAAAATTTTGGTCCGTATGTACCTGAAATGTTGGTAACGTAAAGTAGAAAAAGCAGTGCATCTGCTTTATAAATAACGTGATAAAGAGAGATACGGGATGAGGATTAGATGAGGGCGCTGAGCTAATCGTGTAAGGGTTCGCCGTTCAATGAGGGATCCCCTTAAGCCGGAATAACTATTTAATAATTTAAAGTGAAAATAAAGTAACATCTCTTTTATTTTATTTACCCGATAGCGTTAAATAAACTACAACCGTGTAACACACACATCATATACATAGTATCAACGTTCACCATACATCTGGTACTAATCACAGCTGCAAGATAGCAATGCAATAAAATTAGAAAATAATATTTGTCTTTGTCTACTCCCCAATCTCCTTCAAGCACATATATAACCGGCCGTGACTCATTCAACGGTATTATGACATCTAGAACTTTTGGCATTAACGGTATTAACATAAACAATACTACGAATATGTTAATATACACTGCAAAAAAAGAACATATGTATGCTACAATAATCCTAATTTTTTTTAAATCATTTTTCACAATGTAACAATTTTTTCCAAATTTGATCTCTGAATATTAATTAACGGATTTAAAGCAATTAACTATTAAATTACTAGAGATTATATAATTAAAAATAATTATCCGGTTACCTGAATAATATTTTGTCACTTTTTGTCCAATGGTAGCATAATACCTCAAAATATGAAGCTCGCACTCGCTATGAAAGAGCCGCCAATGTTCGTTCATTACTTGTAACAAATATTGTAACTATAAATAACGAAAAAGAAAATAATATTGATGAGCAATAGTGAAATAACCATTTTTTTAATTATTTGCGAATACGCGTGGATAGATGCATATAAAATTCAGTTGCGTAGGAAATATAACAATTAAAGCTCACTCTGATATATTTATGATTTTCTATATGTGTTTGTGCACATTATAAAAACACTTGAATGATTATTATATGTATATGTATAAAATTGCATTTATATATATAATTTTTTATAAAGAAATTTATAATTCTAAAGTATATCCCCTATAATACTATATAAATGCAATTTTAAAAAATTTACAAAAATTAGGGATTGTCTAAAACATCCTTTTTTTACATTGAACATAAATCTGTCTATTTACCGTACAATTTTTTACATGTTACATATACATACAGAGTGTCCCAAAAGTCCCGGACCGATCGAATATTTCATAAACTATGCACTTTAGAAAGAAATGTTTCAAAGAAAGGTGGATGGCTTGAAGGGGGCCATCAGATAGTGGTAATGATTTGACATGGGAGAGTCATTTGAAAGTCACGTGAAGATTACCGTCAATTTCTTAAACGGAACCCCCTATTTTTTATTACATATTCGTGTAGCTTATCTCAAGAGCTTTCCAAAACACTATAATAAGATTAGTTTTCATTAAGTACTTTCCGAATTATGAGGCTTGAAATCATTTCTTAATTTTGCATAAACCATAAAATATCTAGTAAAATATTCATTTTTCGATTATATTATCTTAATACTTTTATGATTTCAAGCCTCATAACTCGAAAAGTACTCAATGAAGAAATATTTTATTATAGAAATACTTTACTATATTATTTTGGTAGTCCTATGGGTTTCCCCCTGTCACCTATTTTGGCAGATGATGGATGACTTGGAAACGCATTGCTTAAGTCAACTAAGTTTTAATGTTCCGACATATTATAGGTATGTTGATGACATTTTTACTATTGTTCCACGCTCAAAAGTTGAAGTGATAAAATCGACCTTTAATAATTACCATCAACGCTTAGCATTTACGCATGAAACCGAGTCTGATTCTTGTATCAGTTTTCTTGACACGATTGTTATCCGATCGGATGGTCGTCTTTTGACTGATTGGTACAGGAAACCCACCTGTTCCAATAGATATACTAATTTTTATTCTAAACATCCGTTCCAATATAAAATGAACACCATTTACAATCTTGTTAACCACGCCATTTTATTGGCAGACACTCGATTTCATTCCAAAAATATTGATATCGTTAAGCAGATTCTTTCCAACAATTGCTTTCCAAATTATATTATTAACCGCTATGTACAAAAAAGATTATATTTTTTAAAACACCGTGATAACGCAAATATTGACAATGAATCCGACAATGCAGTTACATCCTCGTACATCTCCTTGCCGTTTGTGGAGGGCTTGAGTAGTGAAATTGGTCGCGTTTTTAAAAATGTAGGTCTTAATGTCGTCTACAATGTGCTTAAAAAACTCAACGCATTAATTAAACGTGGTAAAGACAGGCTGCCTACTAATAACAGGACGGAAGTCGTTTACAAATTAGACTGCAAAAATTGTAACAAGTCATATATTGGCCAAACAAAAAGACATGTAAGCACTCGTGTAAAAGAACATCGCAACAACATAAAAGTGCACGAAAGTAATTTTTCTGTTATCAGCAAACATAAAGTTGAATTTAATCATGACTTCGATTGGTCATTACCAGCTATTTTACATAATGAGAAACACGTGAGAAAGAGAGAAATCGCCGAAATGTTTTTTATAAAAAAGTTTGACAACACGATCAACTTACAAAAGGACACTGAAAATTTAAACAATATTTATGATAGATTAATAAAGGTTGTCTAGTCTTTCTCTGTGTATTGATGGAGACGGTTGACATGACAATCTTGACGAAGTGATTTCCTTATTTCTCACGATAGAATAGTTAACTAAATTATTGTATGTATTTAACTTGCCGCTCATTTTTTATTTCAAAATCAATGTAATTTATTTTTTGTGTAATACTGGAAATAATTTTTTGTAGTTCACTCGAAAAGAACCAAAACCATGATCGAAACGTCCATGATTCACTTTAATAAAATTTGCCAGTGTGGTCGTTTTTAATTACTTCTTGTATTTTATTTACTGGCGACCTTCAAGAGTTTAATGTTACTTTATTATAGTGTTTTGGAAAGCTCTCGAGATAAGCTACACGAATATGTAATAAAAAATAGGGGGTTTCATTTAAGAAATTAAAGGTGACCTTTACGTCACCTTCAAATGACTCTCCGAGGTCAAATCATTGCCACTATCTGATGGCCCCCTTCAAGCCATACAACTTTTGTTTGAAACATTTTTTTCTAAAGTGCATAGTTTATGAAATATTCGACCGGTCCGAGACCTTTGAGACACTGTATACACATCGAAATCAAACTACCTTTTTGTTATTCGTAACAACATTAACTAATTTTGTAGTGGCACCAACAAGAAGAATAGAGGTGATTATACCTTCGATAGTCATGCTTAAGTCTCCCCAAGTATTATACAGCAAAAGTATCTATAAATTAAGGATGGTAGTAATATCGATCGGTGATACTAAGAGGGAGAAAGAAAGAGAGAGAGAAATATTGCGAATATAATTCGTTAAAAATAAATCGAATCGTATTCAAAACAATATTTCTTAGTTGATTGCATTTGTGATGACAATTATACAATTATTTACATCAATATAACAATCTTGTGCAATATTACCTGAGTTGCAAGAACAGACATCTCAGCGCCTACTAGGAAACATGGTAACAATATCTTTATCATCCTAGGCTGATAAGGCCAAATACCCATTTGCGACAAAAAATATTGATTTCTAGAATAATATTTTAGCATGTCTCCTTCCATATCGCGAAACAAGACTATTTACTTTTTTGTTAGATATTCAATTATACGAAAGTGGAGGGTGGGATATAGCGAGAAGAATATATCATTACCGTAATTTCTGGTTGTCATGAAATGCGTCGCGAAAAGTAGATACTTATTATCGATGAACAGATGTAGTACAAATAAAAATTCATTTTCCGCAGCGAACAAATGTTTCCTGACAACCCGAAATTATTATGATAATATATATTTTTCGTGTCATTATTTTCGTTTTATATTTTTTTTACAATCAAATACTTCACAGAAAGTGATCACAAACTACTAACCGACCACTAAGAATATACGATAGCCATATCTTTATCATCTTAGGCTGATAAGATCAAATATTCATCTGTGACAAGAAGAATTGATTTTTAAAATAATATCGTAACATCTTTGCATATATCGTAAAATGTTTGCCAGTTATCGTTCCCTTGCTAGATATTCGAGTGTATCAAAAAATTGTAAAGCAAATGAAATGGCGAGAACGGACATATTATTTCGATAATTTTGAATTGTTAAGAAACGTTTAAAATAATACAAACGTTTAAATTATTATAGAGATGGATGATTAGTCAATTGATCTATGAAAAGCAACGTTGTTTGTTATTAATATTTAACAATTTACTTGTTGGCGAAAAATATTTTTAAATATTTCCCAACAACCTGAAATTATTATACAGATCTTTGGTGAAAGAAAATTATGTAAATTATACAGGCCTGCGAGGTTTTTTTTTAAGATGCAATAGAGATTTCCGACGTAATTTTGTGAGCTGAATTCTAATCTGGCCGTCAAATTTGCGTAGCATGTCACGTTTTTGAGTAATTTGTAATTGAATGGCTCAAAAATCGCTATTTTGGCCAATTTCATGAATTTATTGCGAGGAAACCAAATTTTTTGAAATATTTCTACCAATGGCATCGTATAATACTCACTTTCGCCTTTCAAATCCACTTTCGATTACCGCCGCACGATTTTTTTTCGCTGAGATATATAAGGATGACGTTGTAAGAAAATTTATATAGACATCAATATGGTAGATCCATGATCTTGAAATTTGAAAAGACTGACATATGTCAGGTTTGGTTGGCCAAAAAAAATATTGTAAAGAAATGTCTAATACAGTTGTTACACATTTTGATAAATTTTTCTAAATTTTATGCCTTTTTATTGTGATTCTATTCGCCATGGATGCGCCATTTTTAATTTCAAAAGGTGACAGAAAGTATTTAAAAATGCATATTTTTACCTTAATTTTGATTCGTAGTGAGATAGAGAGGTGGCACGGTTGATTTAGAATGGCTTATAAATCCCTATGCATGACCAGTCTTATAACTTGTATATCTGAGCGAAAAAAAATCGTGCGGCAAGGGGGAGGGGAGTAATCGAAAGTGGATTCGAAAGATGAAAGTGAATACTATACGATGCCATTGACAGAAATATTTCAAAAAATTTGGTTTACTCACAATAAATTCATGAAATTGGCCAAAATAGCGATTTTTGGGCTATTCAACTACAATTAACTCAAAAACCTGACGTGCTACGCAAATTCAGCGGCCATATTCGGATTCAGCGCACAAAATTACGTCAAAAATCACTATTGCATCTTAAAAAGAAATTTTGATCCCCTTTTTTGCAGGCCTGTGTTATAGATTACGAAATTGTTTTCCGTAGAACAAAGTGAAATACACTATTCAGTTGATAAACAATTGCAATGCAATACGATTTTCTTTTATAACATTAGCAGGATATTGAAAAATATAATACACTCGTATTTCATATTATTATTAGATATATCGTTTTATTATGATATTACAAATATTCTTTCGTTGATAATATAATGGCTTTACACTAACTTTTTCTAAATATGATGATTTTGCAGAGATAAAGACGTCATATATATTATAACTGTGTCTCTATTTCAGAGATCCTAAGGTAGTAAAATACGACATGGCAGTTTGCATCACCTTAAAATGGAATATGGATTCTTCGCAGCGTTGTGTAATAAACAGTGTTTGCTGATATCTAGATAAAATTATCTAGATAATTATCTAGATAAAGAAACGGATCATCTTTATCTTTAACTAGATGAAGAAATACAAAGTATCTTTATCTTTAACTCAGATAAAAAAATATATGTCATCTTATCTAAAAATTGTCTAAGATGACATTTTCATTATGCAAAAAAGTTTTCTAGGCAAGCTTCTAAAAATCTATCTAAAATATCTAAAATTTTTGAGGAGCTTAAAACTTAATAACTTAAAATGAGAAAAGAACCCCGTCAAATCTTTTTTTATTCTGTTCATTTATTTGAATTTACTTGCTTGTACTTATTTTACTTAAATTTGTGCAATGTATTAATGTATATTTTATAAAAATGATATATGTATTGTTACACATTGATTATTATATTATTAGTATATTATAAATATATTATAAATATAAAGTAATAAATAAATATTTATCATATCATTTATATACCTTTTTGTTATTATTTAAATATTCTTTAGGAAAAGAAAAAGAATATGTATTTATGATTTTAATATCCCATTTATAATCTGCATCACATATTTTACAAATATTTATAGTCTTATAAAATAAACAAAAATATCTAGATAATTATCTAGATTGTCGCAATAATCATCTCATCTTTCATCTAGACTGAGTAAAAGCAAAATCATCTTTATCTCATCTAAGATAAATTTACGGATTTTTATCTTTATCTTTATCTAGCTAATTTTGAAATTATCTACAGCAAACACTGGTAAACATTGTAAAAGGTTATATTCAAACCAAACATACCGAGCTGCACATAGTCATTGACATAACAAACATCTTTCCAGCCGTGAGTGTGCAAGGAACGAGACTTCTGTAAAGAAGAATTTTTAACAATCTTCTGCTTTTTATGGAGAATGTATACCACTGCGAACAGTACCTAAAAAGACAAAATAAAAAGACAAAATCTCTAAAAAATAACAAAATATCTTCAAGATGCCTTTCTGGCAACTATCGAATCGTATAAGACGACTTTGGGTAAAATAACATTAAAATAATAAAAACATTGCTATCAAAAATAGTTGCAATAATGCCTATCAAATAAAATTATGCTTTTATTTAGCGAGGATTGTATGCAACAGAGAAAATTAAATTTTTTACAGTAAAATTGAGTAAAATTTTAAATAATCAATTATAGGATTTCTCAATATTAAGGCTTCTCATTATAAATGTATGATATTACTATTTGATAAAAATATAAAGTAATAAATCTGGAGTATTATATTATATTATATTGTATTATTTTATATTTCATATTATTTCAGTTATAATTGCAATGCAATTCTAGCTTATTCGATAAGGCTGCTTATGCTCCAATTAAAGAGCAATTATAGAATTATATTTCTTACGCTTTCTCAAAAATTTCTGCACTTCTGTCTATCAGCAACTGTCCGGGAAAGCACATGCATACAAGATGAGTAAATGCACCTACTGTTACGCAAATGTATCTTATAACTTCTTCTGTATGTCCTAGTTTATTAATAAGCTGCAACAATTATAGCAACAATTATATTGCACAGAATATAAATTATTTTAAAAAAATTATCGATAATCTTGTTATAATTATAGATTATTTGATTAATTTAGAATTATTTAGAATTATCTTCCTTAAAAAAATTAAGAGCAGAAATCATTTATTATAATTTTCTATTTTTTTTATATTATACATGTATGTATTATTTATATCTTTGTAATTAAACTTTGAATTCTGTTAAAGTAAACTGTATTTGAAATGATAATTAAAAAATATGTTTTATTTATTCTTTTCAAAATTCAATTCGAGAAATGAATTTTTTTTCAATTGTCTATAAATATAAAATTTTCTGATGTCTCGACATTTTTAAAAAATCTATTGCAAACTGGTCATTCGTCGTTGAATGAATATTTGGTAGCTTTGAACATCTTGCTACGAAATATATTTTTCAATGGAAACATATGTATTTTTGAAATTCTTACCTGTAATCCAATTACGCTCATAATCAGCACATTCAGAGATAGAAGAATAAACATCGCGTGTGTGAATGTAGAATCTAGTATCCGAACATGTCTAAGAGAGATTGGGAATAATTTAATATTAAAAATCGAATAAAATAGTTTTATCGGTCAAGCAACTTTATTAAGATCATTAAAATCGTTAATATGACTTTATTATCGATGATAAAATTACGGACTCTAATGCGAGTTGATGTTTTCTCAAGCATATCATCAATTCACGATAGTCCTCGTTTATAGAATCGTATCTTTCTATTGATAAATGATAGTGCGTTCTTGTGCGTATTTGTTCATTATCATCAGTCTTAACATCTGTTTGACCAACAATATTTTCAAGACGGTGGCTTAGAAACGAAACGATGTAAATTAGAATAATCTATATCGACAAATTTTCTAAATATATATATTAAGAGTAAAGAAATTTCAGAAATATAATAAATTTTTTTCATAAATTTAAAGGAACACGATATGTCAAGTAATTTTTTGACATCACTTACCTAATAGCTGTGAATAAACTGCAAGCATGTAACACACATATTACATACATGGTATCGATAGATAATATGATCCCGACAGTGATCACACTCGACATATAAGCATGAAATAAAATCGGATAATAATATTTATCTTTGTCCACTCTGTATTCGGCTTGATATATGTATTTCAATGGTCGTGATTCGTTCAATGGTATTACCATATCTAAGATTCTTGGACTTAATGGAATAAATAAATACAGCACCAAAATTGTACAACAATATACTGTGAAAAAAAGCATATATCGCTTTATGAGCTTTATATTGTATTAAAAATATTATATAAAAAAATAGAATTTTTTTATTATATTATTATATTATATTATTTTTAGTATTTTTATTTTTATCATATTATATTATGTATTTTTATTGTGTTTTTTATATGTTATAATTTTGTAAATTAGAATTTATAAAATGAAAATCTCTGATTTATTTTAATTTGAAACTTTTAAAGAGAAAACTTTTAGAGAAAAAGAGAATTTATATTTAATTTATATGTTTAATGATAAGATTGAATAGACTTATATTTAGCTTTTATTTTGTTTATAACGCGCTACACATCGCAAAAACAGGGCATTCTCGTGACACATTGTATACATTGTATATGTATATCGCAGTATGTGTTGTGTTTTCACGCTCGTGTTGTTATTGGTGCGATGACAACGAAAAAAGGTAGCGGCGCGCTCTACTCCATATGTCGTCGCATTACTCCTTGATACGCGATCGCGACAAGTACTACGAGACATTACATGCAATTATTCGTTATGATTTTGACAATTAACAATTATTAGTTTGCTTTTAATTAATTAGTGCTAATAATTTATCGCGTTTTTTTCGCGAGTAAACACGAGTGTCGTAAAGGATATAAAACGATTAAGAAAAAGGTCCCGAGAAATCATCAGGACGAACAATTACAAGGTGAGTACAATTTATAATATTAAAGTTGAATTTCTAAAAAAATGTTGTAAATTAGCTGTTTGCGAATGTATCAACTATTGTTAAAATTTTATGGATTTTACTCCACGACAGATGTTAAGCTTACTCGAAAATAGACTATATTAAGATAATTTTAAAGTTATATTAAGATAATTTTAAAGTTATGTTAATCTATTTTAAAATGTGTCTAAAGATGATTTGATTATTTATTACATTTCGCAATTAAATATGTATGATATATTAAACATATCGATAATAATAATTATCTAAAACTTTTTTGCCTTCTAAGCATATCAGTGATATGTGTTAATTTTGATTAGCTTTGACGAAAAATCGTTAAGTTTTTGGATGGGTTTTTAGATTACAAAATTATTACTATAATTTTCCATTATTTTCTAAAAATTCATATATGAATAATAATTGTGCTCAGATTACTCGAAATGGACCACAAATTCTTTCGAATAGGAAGTGTTTTTTAATTACACTAAAAAACCAAAATATCAACTTTGCCATAATGTTACGTGAATTTCTTTTCTGATTGTTATTTAAAAGTATTATTCATTACCTGCGTAATATTTCGTCACTTTTCGGCCGATTTTAGCATAATATTTCAAAATATAACGTTCAGATTCACTACTAAAAATACTCCAATGTTCGTTCATGATTCGTAATAAATGTCGAAACTGATGAACATTATAAAAAGAAAAAATTAACAGCAAATATATACACATTGTTAATATGTATTTGAAAATTTACCTTATCATTATTTACAACGATATTAATCAATTTTGTACTGGCACCAACAATGGGAATGATGATAATTACACTTTCGACAGCTATATCTACATCACCCCATGTATCATGTAATAAAATTATCTATGAATTAAAGACACATCGATCAACAATAAAATAATTATGTAAAAAAAAATACCTAATAAATATATATTTTTATTTGGAAAGTTATTATATTGCTTAATTAATTTAATTTACCAACGAGTCTGCATTATTAGTGCGATACGTTACCTCAGTTGCGATGACGGAATATTGTACTATTGTTAAAAAACATGGTAACAAAACCTTGAGTACTTTATGCTGATATGGCCAAGCGCCAATTCGCGACAAGAAGAATTTATTTATGAAATAATATTCTTCCATTTCCGCATGCATTGTTTCGTACGCAATTCTTGTGCGAATATCTTGTCGCGAATCAGCTCTCTTTTTATTAAATATCCGACATATGAGGAAGAAATGACGTGGACAACAAAAACAATATAGTTACGATAATACCGGATTGTCAAACATTGTACACGAGTCGTGAAAGGTATATATTTAACTAATCGATATGAGATGCCATCCCTGTATTCTAACAATTTACAGAAAATTTTGAGTTATTCAGAAATTGCAAACTGTCTATGAGATGATAGAGAGATATTCATTGTCAGAAATTTTCTCAACAAAAAAAAATATAGTCACCTCAGATAAGTGTGCGAAGTAAAGACGAATAATTTTAAATTATTTCAACTTGTCCTTAAAGCACACTTTTTTAAAGCACAGATATTTTTTGTTGTCTATTTTTTACAAGTTACCTTGTTGCTTAATATTTATTATATAATATTCTATTTATATTTATAATGTACAAGGTGTCTTAAAATATATTCTCTACAAAATAAATAAATTCTTTTAATAGAAGAAATTGTGTAAAAAGCTCTCAATAAATAAATAATAAAGATACAATATAAAATAGAGAGCTGGTGACTAAATTAAAATAAAGAGAAAGAAAAAAAAATTCTTTTAAATCTGGGGATCATTTTTCCTTAGCGAAAATATTGATGCGTTAATTTAGGTTATAAATAATTGAAAAAGAATGATTTTTCGAAGAAACGTTTCTCAAACTTTGTCGATTTAAGAAATTAATAAGATTACCTTTTACAGTTAATTTCTAATGGAATTTACTTTAAGAATCCTTGGGGCACTCTTTATAATTTTTATCGATTACTCGATTTTTAATAATGTACGTCATCTTCCATGAAAATGCGAGAATTAAAAAATATATGATATATTTTTGCAAAACACATTTTATACATCACGTTAATTCATTAAAAAGATAGTAAAACTCCGATAAGTAAAATTACAGTACATAAAATTATAAAACCTTTTTATACAAAATTTTAAAAAGAATATTTAAAAATTTATTTCCATTTATTTATATCATGCTACAAAAGATATTTTGTTAGACTAAATGTATGGCTAGCGTAGTGTTATTTTAGAGAGGAGAATGTCATGAAGTAAGACATAGCAGTCTGTACTACCTTAAAAGGGAAACATCAGTATTTTAGTGCGACATGCTATAAGAACGAAAATTATAAATATATAGTTTGTAACTCACACACACACATACATAGGTCTTACCATGCTATAATTCTCCATTGACATTACGTATATCTTACCGGCAGTTAACGTGCACGCCACGTTACTTCTGTAGAGCAATATTCGGAACAGTCTTTTGCTTTCTGCAGAAAATGTATACCAATGTGATCTACAACTGAGAGATTTTTTTTGATTGAGTTAGAGCTATTGAATTCTCTACATATTAATATTATACAGTACCAACCATATGTCACCTTTATGTTTTTTGAGGGTAACTTAATTCACAATGCAATGTTTTTATAGTCACATATATTTTAATAGTAAATATATAGGTTACTAAACAATAGACTTTTCACTCAATAATAAGAAAACTTAAGGAAACTAAATAATAAACAACTTAAAAAAATTAATTAATATGTGCACTTTTTTAAATTAATTATCCTCAAAAAACATAAAGATGTTATATTTTTGGCTGGTACTGTATATATGTATATTAATAATATATAGTGTGTCCTATAATTATCGAATGTCTTTATAATAGCTTTCCAGCCAATCTAGATTTTTTATTAATAAAAAGAGATCATTTTTTGAAGAAACTTTTCCATCTTTGTTAATTAAGTTTCAAATTTTAAAAATTTTTATTAAAGTAAACTTTTCCTGAAACTAATTGAATAATGTAACTTTGTTAATGTCACAAGTTATGACAAATTTTTTTTTTAAAATCGCTTATATAACTCGGAAATTATTGATGTTTAGATATTTTAAGAAAAAATCGCCTTCAAAATGATCAGTGATTTACTATTAAAAAGATATCCGATAGTTTTGTCACATTAAGTAAAATATATAAATATATATTGTATGTTAACATATAGTTTTTCTAATAAGAAATATCTTAAAAGTGCAATATTTTAAGATACAAAGTTTGAAAGGCCAGAAAATGCAAGGGCTACTATATACAATTAAAAATTTAGTTATCAAAAAATAAAAAAATACAAAATCATAAAATATCTAATAACTGTTGTAAATACTATATTTTATATATATTAAATATTTCTAGTCTATTCACACAACATATATAGTTTCCTAATGATATTTTTCTTAAATTTTCTATCTATCAAATATCTTATTCTATTATTTTTACGCTTTATCAAATATTTTCATGCTGTGATCCATCAATCTTTGCCCCGGCAAAGACATCCACAAAAGATGGAAAAATGCTCCTGCGCACAAGGAGAGGTATCTAATTAAATCCTCGGTACTATCAAGATTACTTATTACCTAAATAAACATAATTACTATAAAAAAATACAGCATACTCTGATAAAAAATAAATCTTTCATCTCTTCTTCTTTATATAAAACAATTATATACTTGCTTGAATTCCTATAAGACTTAAGGCGAGCATATTGCATGACAATTGGATACCTGTCGATAACATGAACGAAGATTCCAATAAGCGGGCATATCTGATGAAGATATAATTTAGAAATATATTCAATAGTTTCTTGCGAATCAACTTCTAGGTAAATTAATACAGGGTATATCTGGAATGATGCACTAAACTTTAGGAGCGTATTCTAGAGGTCAAAATAAGACTTTTTTTTCCTATGAACATCCGCAAATGAATCCCCCTCCGAGCTAGAGGCCTCTAAAGTTTGGGGAAAAAATTAAAAATTGGCTGTATCTAAGAAAAAAAAGGTTTTATCTATCATTCTCTTTTGAGAGATAAATAAATTTACGTTGCGAGTGTTTGGTCAATTTCACACATTTTTGAATTTTAGGTCGAAGGGGGATTTCAGATATACCCTGTAAATTCTAGCTTCTTATGTGAGCGAATGCAATGACATATATTGCAATAATTAAAAAAGCAGTACAAACTGTATTGCCAGTTGATGTTTTCGCAAACATATGACTAATTCGCGATAAACTGTCTGCTGGTTAACATAAATATCGTCGACTTCCATGTCTCGACATTTTCTTTCTTCATTATCCGTAAAATAGTTCATCTGACTGAGTTCATATTCTCTCGAAACTATGTGTTCTAATCGATATCTGAAACAAATATTAAATTTCAACAAAGATTCAGGGTTTTTCGAGAATTATATTACGATTATACAAAAAAAAATTCTCTAACAATATAGTAGGTATTAAACTTTCAAAAATTTCTCTATCAAAGTATTTTTTAGTATTTTACCCTAACAATATTATTTATATAAACATAGAATTCTAAATATGAAAAAAATTATCAGCTTGCGTATTTTAATATTAATAATATAATATTAATAATATATAATATTAATAATATAATATTAATAATAATATGATATTATAATATAATAATATAATATAATATTATAAATATTAGTAACTTTAATATTATTATAATATTAATATTATAATAATAAGAATAATAATAAGAATAATATTATTATAATACGAATAATATTATTACAATTTAATATTATTATAATTTTAATATTATAATATTAAAATTAATATTTATTATTTATATTAATATTAAAATTTTTAATATTATATTTAATATTATAATATTAAAATTATTATAATATGAAAATTATCATGTTACGTATAATTTCAATATTATTATAATAATATTATTTTATTGCATACACCATAGTAAATATTAAAATCGTATTTACCCGATGGCTGCAAATAAACTGCAGCCATGTTGCACGTACGCTATGTAAGTAGTGTCTGCGCACACCACAATCGACATGACCCCTATAACCGCCACATACGAATGGAACAAGATGAGATAATAATACTTCTCTCGATCTATGCGATACTCGACTTCGAACAGAAACTTTCGCGGACGACTCTCATTGAGAGGCATCATAATGTCCAGAATCTGCGGCGACATTGGCATTAGCAGATACAATATCATCGACACATAAACGTAAACTGTGAACAACGATTGGCACTGGCATTCGACTTATGTAATATTTACAATGGCGGCTGTTTGCATAAATAAGATTTGCATAAATAAATTTATGATTTTTAATATAATCGAATAAAATTGCTAAGGGAGACTGCCTTCTTACTTGAGTAAAATATTACCACTTTTCTACCGAATACAACGTAATTCTGTAAGATCTCGACGTCCGTAGAATTGTTAAACACTTGCCAATGATATTCGATTAGAGAAAATAGGTACCGCATCTAGATGATTTATATAGGAAAATAAAGAAAAATTTATATATGATGTAATGATACATGTGTGCACGTGTACCTCATTAATTCTAAAACTGAGATTGAATAGCTTTGTGAAACAGGCAAATACAATTATAGTCGAAATTATACATTCAACTGCAATATCGACATCACCCCAAGTGTCAAACATTCGTATCATCTGGAAAAATGAGACGTAAGAATTCAAATATCTCTTCTACAGAAATGATTATATGATAATTATATACAGGGTGTCTCATTTTAATGTCCCACCCCAAATAATTTTCTCATTTTTAATTTTAGAAAAAGATATTTCAGACAAAAGTTGTATGGCTTGAAGGGGGACATAAGATGGTGCCATTAATTTGACCTTGAAAAGTCACCTGAAAGATACGTGAAGCTCACCTCTAACTTTTTAAACGGGATACCCTATATACTTTTACATATTCTTGTAGCTTGCCTCAATAGCTTTCCAAAACACTATAATAAAGTATTTTTTCATTGAATACTTTTCGAGTTATGAGGCTTGCAATAATTTTACATAAAAATCGTAAAATATCTTGTAAAATATTCATTTTATCTTACCTTAATACTTTTATGTACAAAATAATGAGAGAAATTAATTGGTGTAAAGAAAACATACAGTTGTTTTTAAGAAAAAATATGGAATTTGCAATTAACAATTCCATATTTTTTCTTAAAAATAACTGTATGTTTTCTTTACACCAATTGATTTCTCTCATTATTTTGTACATAAAAGTATTAAGGTAAGATAATCGAAAAATGAATATTTTACTACTATTTTATGGTTTATGTAAAATTAAGAAATTATTTCAAGCCTCATAACTCAAAAAGTACTTAATGAAAAATGATTAATTATAGTATTTTGGAAAGCTCTCGAGATAAGCTACAAGAATATGCAAAAATATATAGAGTGTTCCATTTAAAAAATTCAAAATGACCTTCATGTGACTCTTCAAAGTCAAACTAATGACACCACCTTATGTCCCCCTTGAAACCATATAACTTTTGTCTAAAACATCTTTTTCTAAAATTAAAAATAAGAAAGTTATTTAAAGTGGGACATTAAAATGGGACGCCCTGTATAGTTATTATAGTAATATAATTATATATATTATAATAGTAATGTAATAAAATTGCAATATTTTTTTCCGATGATTGATAATTAATATTTTTTAAAAATTAGCTGAAACAATTCATAAACTAGGGAAAGTCTCGATATGATTAATCTACTCTTATATCGATAATATTTTTACAAGCATAAATTCAAAACAAATCTATCATGAAAAAGATATATGAAAAAGACATACATATCACGAACAGTGAAATCGATTAATTACCTCTGCTGCAACATAGCTGATGTCGATGAACGTTAGCACGGTTGGTATTAATATCCTTATGGCCCTATTTTGATAAGGCCAAACGCCGATTTGCGACATAAAAATCTTGTTAACATGATAGTAACGCAGTATATCCGATTGCATGGTGCATCTATCCGTCGCGATGGACGATCGGTAAATGAAACAACGAGCGAATATTTTATGCAGGATGTATTGTAGTACTAAAGATGCATAGTAAAAATACGAGATGGATATTTATCATAATGTCACGTTGTCAGTTATACCATTCATCAGGTACCTATTTCTTTAACGTAACGGTCGTCTTATCGATCCGAAAGTCCAAATGATTGACAAGTTCTCAATGCGACAGTTTAATTGAAGATTTCGATAAAGGGAAAAAGACCAAGTTTCGTGCTGTCATATTTTGAAGAAACGAGGAAAAAAAATATATCAGAAGTATAGCAAATAATTGTCTTCCCCCATGCAATGTACAAGTTGTTCAGTTTGCAACCGCTGTGATATAATCTTCTTACTTCATATTTATATATTTAATAAGATAAAACAAAAATATATACAATATATAATACAAAAATACAATATATAATATAAAGAAATAATATAAAAAAATTCAAATTTTAATTAGATAATAATTTCAATTATAAGAAAAAAAAATATATATATATATATATAAAATGTATGTAAAATTTACATGATTTTATATTGTTTTTTTCTTCATTTATTTACCTATATTGTAAAATTTTCAATTATTTTTATCAATGCTTATGTAAGAATCATAAAACACCATAAGATAATAATTGTATATACATATATGTTAAATATATCAATCTAAATACGTTAACATAAATATTGAATAAATTAATAAATATTTTATTTAATTAATATTGTTTATTATAAATGTAAGCTTGCAATGAAATCTTTAATATATAGATAAATTTATCGATAGATATACTTATCGAGAAAATGCTAAAATTGTGAAGTAAAATCGTCCACACTTTCCGAAAACAAAAGGATATAGGTAACCAAATTTGTATAAATATAAACATAATATAAATTTAAATGTACGATTCGAAACACAATGATAAGAATTTGATTGCGATTATTCGTGTCTAATTTTCCAGCGGTATTATATAATAGTTTTCTCAAGCCACTAACTTGTACAATATACGCGTCTTATCAGTTTAATTCGTTTGATATGCATGTTGATAGGCACGTTATATCAAAATCATAAATATTTAAAAAATCCATTTCTATATAAAATGTATTCTAATAATCACATTTTTTATTCACATATAATGTGACAATTGTCTCTAGAGTGATTAAATATTTAAATAATTAAAAATAAAATTATGGAAATATTTAATTTCTTTTTCCCGTTAAAAGAAGGAGAAAAAGAAATGTAAGCTAATATTAATTAAATTAATGTTAATTTTATAAAATATTACTTATATATAATATATTATAATATTATAACATTATAGTATATATTATAACATTATAGTATATATTGTTAATTTAAAATTAAATTTTTATAAAATATATTATGTATTATATATAAAATATATTATGAATTTAAAATTGAATTTTTCTAGTGGAACTTTCAAGATCAATTATTAGACAATAAAACATACAAAATATTTTTTTCATCTTTATATATCTTTATTTTAATGAATCTTTTTCATTTTAAAAACATCTATTATGTATAAATAATCTAAATATACAGGGTGTCTCATTTTATTTTTGTCGGTCAAATATCTCGATATTATTGTACTTAGAAAAAAATGTTTCAAACAAAAGTTGTATGGCTTGAAGGCGAATGCCTCTACCAGCACTTATTTGATTAGCGAGCGACCTTTTCAAAGATCCTCCTGGCAATCGGCATTGCATCCATCGAGCGAGATACCAACATCGCTCTGGAGTCGCATATCACTGTGTTAAAAAACAGCATTAGGTGTGAGGTCTGGATAGCTCAGTGGTCTAGAGCAGTTGCCCGGAAAGCGAAAGACTCGGATTCGATTCCCGATCCGGCCACTTGCGTCTCACATATTTTTCTAGTCTGCGAATATTGTTTTCTAGCAATTATTTATTGAAAAAATGTGTGAATGCTCTCTCCACAAGATATGCGTCGATGCCGTTGCCACGGATGGATTCTGTCGCTAATTGAGCATCCCCCAAATGAGCGTAAAGACACGTCCGATCTCCTCCCACATACATCTCTATCTTTCTCTATACATTCCCACTTTGCGAGTTCTTGTTTTAAACATTCAATATGATCATCATTGCTATCTTTACTGAACAAATAGCTGATGTATCACGTTATTTCAGCCTTTTCTTTAGAAATATCGAAAAAGTCTCTAAGTAATATCAAAAAAGAAACCAATATATAATTATTTAAAATATAATTAAAAACAATAAAAAAATCTTCAAGCATATGCTCAGTTCTTTCAGCAAGAATAGAAAAAAAATATTAACCAATAAGGTTTCAACTCGTTCTCTCAATTGATCATAAGATAGATTGTACTTATTAAGTAGATTATTAATAGCTTCATAATTAGCTAAACTAAGTAAATTTTTTTTCTAAATAATTGATTATGATTTCAGAATTTTTAATATGCAAATGGGCGTAAAAACACGACCTTCTCCCACATACATCCCTATCTTTCTCTATACATTTCCATTTTGCGAGTTCTTGTCTTAAACATTCAATATGATCATCATTGCTATCTTTACTGAACAAATTTCACGTTATTTATTACTAGCACGTACATTTCACGTATTTTATTTCTAGCACTTTCTGGATTTGAAAGGCAAATTGTCTTCTTGATTTGAAAAAAATGTAATTTGCAATTAACAATTACATTTTTTTTCAAAACAATTGTGTTTTCTTTACTAATTGATTCCTCTCATTATTTTCTATATAAAAGTGTTAAGGTAAAATAATCGAAATATGAATATTTTACAAGATATTTTACGGTTTATGTAAACTTAAGAAATGATTTCAAGTCTCATAACTCGAAAAGTTTTTAATGAAAACTAACTTAATTATAATGTTTTAGAAAGCTCTCGAGATGAGCTACAAGAATATGCAAAAGTATATAGGATGTTCCATTTAAAAAGTTGAAGGCGACTTTCACGTGATCTTCAGGTGACTCTTCGAGGTCAAATTAATGGTACCATCTTATGTTCCCCTCGAAACCATACAACTTTTGTTGGAAACATCTTTTAGACTTTACGAGATATTTCGATGGTAAAATGGATGTTAAAATAGAACACCCTGTATATATATATATATATATATATATATATATATATATATATATATGTGTGTGTGTGTGTGTATATTTTATCTTGAAAATATTTGAAACAGTGAAATAAATAAATAATAAATAAATAATTGAAATATTGCAGTTAAAATTAATAAATCTATTTTTCTTCTCATAATAAAATAGGATATCCTTTTCGATAGGAATATTTTATATTTATAACAAAAATTATTAATTGTCGCTATTTTCTGTCAGTTAATTAAAATGTCCAATGATTAATCAATAAAAATGTAACATAATCAAATTTAAAAAAAAATCTGTATTTTGTTTTCATTCATTCATATTTGCTCATTTCTATTATAATTTATAACTTCCATGAGTGTTTTCAATTTCTAAAATGAAGCATTCATTTTTAAATTTTCACTAAATTTTAAACTTCTATACAATATAATAGCATTACACATAAATCTCATCGAAAAAAACAAATGTATTTTTTTATCCAATCGAATTCAATCATAATGTTATATTAATGATCCATTTCCAATGTAACATATATGCACGGTAAAAAACATTTTGTATTTCTGTTAAACTTTTCTCGTGTAAAAATGTTTGTGTTAAATTTTTGACATACTCTTATGTTAATGTAACATATTATCATTGCGTTATTTTGACATTTCTGCGTTGAATTCATATTCACCGTTTCTAAGAGTTAAAAACAACACAATTAATATGTAAATGCACAAGTTTTTGATAAAATATGTTATATTATTTATTAAAATATGTTAAAATGAACAGATAAGTTGTGTTATTTTTCTCTCTATAACAGTTTCCATACATTAAATCGACATATTTCGTCTGTTATTGATCATAAGAATGTAAAAATAACATTTTCTTTTAATTAAATTTAACATTATAAATATGTTAATTTAACATAAACTTTATTTCCAGATAAAGTTTAAGTGTTACACTTTTGTGTTAATTTTTAAACATATTACTTGTGTTATTTATTTACACACTTGCCTTCTGTTAAATTAACATTAAAATTAGAGTGGATAAATTGGGACACGTGAAATATGTTAAATTTAACACACAATTTTTTACTGTGTGTTATTTCTTGTGTTCACAATATTGCTTCGAGCACGAAGTAGATATTGTCTTTGCACATATCGTACAAATGAATTCGCAAATCATTCAAGCAATAGAATATGCTATTACTGTGAAAGAGTCAATTATCTATCTAATAAAGTTTTACGGTGAAAAGCAGCGATAAGGAAGGTTGTAGTGTGTGCAAATAATTACGCGCTATGCTACGATGACGTAATTACAGCCGTGCACAAGGAATTGTTAATAATGTCCCTATGCGTCGCTTAATAGACAACATTCACAAGATATCGTTTGATAATTTGCGCTCTTAATACTTCTGAACATGATCGAGGAAAGGGATATTTGGCAAAGTCGATATTACGCGATTCCTAGATTCTACATGACTTTAGCAGGATTATGGCCATATCATTCGATTCGCAATAGATATCTACATTTTGTGCCGATATTTACGATTTGTTTTGTTATTTTCATACCTCAGGCATGATTGAACATATATTAATTAGATAATATTTTATTAAATTTCAAGACATAGTTTTTGCTTGTGTATAAAAATTGATATGTGTGTTATATATATTTTTATATATTTTTATGTACAAATTTGCAGTGTTAGAAAGCATTTAAAATGTTTTCTTATCAGCAATTTTTACAATATACATATATATAATGTATTTTTTTATTTGTTTTATATATATATATATATATATATATATATATTTTTTTTTACGCCAATATTTCAAAACTCAATTTTTAAACATATGCAAGAAATTATTACATTAATATCTTGTAACATTTTGATATCTTAATATTTTATAATACAGTTATTATATGTGCACATGGCATTGACGGATCTCGATGATCTCTTCGAATGTATTCCAACAATGTTGATCACGATAATATTTAGTTTTAAATTAGCAAGCTTTATGGCAAATAGTAAGAAAGTAAGTATCGATAATTTACAATTTCATTAGTGAGATTAATTTGTATAATCAAATTTATTATATAATTTATTATATAATTTGGAATCAAATTTATTATATAATTTGTAATCAAATTATAATTTAATTATTATATAATTTGTAAATTATTATACAATTTGTAATCAAATTTATTCTATAATATTGATATAATTATAATTCAATTTATTATATAATTTGTAATCAAATTTATTAAATAATATTAATTTAATTATTATATAATTTGTAATCAAATTTATTATACAATTACTATTTAATAAAAATAAATAATAGTGAAATCGTTCAAAATATTCTTGTTTTATATTTATAGATAAAAAGCTGCCTTAAAACGATAGAGAACGATTGGTTGTCATTAAATACGGATAACGAGAAGGCTATTCTGCAACGACAGACTGCATATGGCCGATATCTGACGATATTTTACGCAAGTATGTTGTAAAAAGACGTAAATTTTGACGGGAAATTTTCGACGAGAGATAGAAAAGAAATTTTTTCCCATAATTTGATCGATTTTTTAAAGCGATTCCTTCTGTAATGCATATATTTCTAGTCTTTATGCAGCTGACAGGGTTCCTCTATATACTCAAGTCGGTTGTGTTGATAATGATAGATGATACCTCAAATTCGACCAAACTGGCTGTAACAAAATTACCATTTCGCGTAGAATACGGCCACAAGATAGATCAATATTTCTATCTGATACTGACCCATAATTATCTAACTGTTTTCTCTCATGTGACCGCCACAGTCGCGACTGATACCTTCTACTTTATCCTGATCCAACATGCCTGCGGGATGTTTTCGGTTGTCGGGTAAGATAATCATATTCGAGAATGACATTTCACGAGATTTAAAATAATTTTCCCAAAAGTGTGACTAATGTTGAAAGCATATTTTTATTTTTCAAGATTGAGTTTCGATCTTTCTGATTCTTTTTCTGACATTGACGATTTTATAAAATTTTTATAAAATTATATTTTTCTAAAATTATTTATATTATAAATTATAAAATTAGATTTTTATAAAATTATCCGAGATCTGAAAAAATGTTCCAAGAGTGTTATTATTTTAGCGATTTCCAGACATTCGTTGGAACGTATTGGCAAAGATAGCAATAACAGTTTCGATTCAAAGCCCGACAAGATTAATGATGTTAATTACTATAAGGTTCTGGATTGTTTACGCAAGCATCTGCACGTGATAGAGTGCGTATTATGATGTTCCATAAACGAAACTGTATGCAATATGTAATTATTTTTCATATTTCTTTTGATCACATTAAGCTTTGCGATTTAGCAGATTCGCGGAATTAATCGAGTCTACGTTCGCGGATATACTTCTGATCAGTATTAGCCTAAATATGATTGGTGGCAGCATATGCGGTATACAGGTGTGCATTAAATTCTCTACGAAGACTGTCTCTGCGAAAGCAAAAAGAATTTTTTTTAATTTAGCGCAAACACTTAGCCTTGAAATTATTAACGTACAACTCTTTTAATATAATTAATGATAAAATTATTTTAAAATTATTTTAAAATAATTTTATCATTAATTATATTAAAAATCAAATTTTCTACGATAAAGATTGTCTCTGCAAAAACAAAAAGAATTTTTTTTAATTTAGCGCAAATACTTAGCCTTGAAATTATTGACGTACAACTCTTTTAATAGAATTAACGATACAATTATTTTAAAATTATTTTAAAATTATTTTAAAATTATTTTAAAATTGTTTTAAAATTATTTTAAAATTATTTAAAAATAAAATTTGCTTTTCCCAGGTATTGATAAATTTAAATGACGCAAAAGATATAATAGCACCTCTCGCTATTTACGTCGCTCAACTCACTCATATGTTCCTACAATTTTGGCAGGCTCAATTTTTACTTGATTACAGTGTTCTTCCGTATGAGTCAATGTAAGAAATCATTTTTTTTTAACTGAATCAAAAGCATTTGTGTCATCTTCTGAAATGCTATCGTTCGATTATAAGTGTAACAAATGTACGAACGAATATTTTCAATTTTTATCTGCATATTAATCGTGTCTTTTGTTACAGTTGCAAGGCGAATTGGTATTATACCTCGGAGAGATGTAGAAAACTTCTACTTTTGATCATGAACAGAACAATATTACCGTGCAGAATTACTGCTGGCAGAGTGGTCATTTTATCCATCGAAAGTTTCGGCGTAGTAAGTAAAAATATTATTGTTTTATTAATTCTTACTCTGCAATTGTAATATATTTAAGATCGATGATAGTGGATTTTTTCGTTTCTCGAAAGGTTCTGAAAACGTCGATGTCATACTTCACGATGCTGCGTTCCTTCCATTAACAATTTCAACGCGAATGCGAGGAATCTGCTAAGAAAATTTTAAGAGTCACGTTTACATGCATCATAATAATTTAACGCGGCGATAGATTTAGATAGTTTTAATTGTCAAAAATATACCGAAAATGTACGATGAAAAAATTTTAGACCAACAAATCTCCTACCTATTACCGCAATCGAAAACACAGGCCTGCAAAAAAGAGGATCAAAATTTCTTTTAAAAATGCAATAGCGATTTTTGACATAATTTTGTGCGCTGAATCCGAATGTGGCCGCCGAATTTGCGTAGCACGTCAGGTTTTTGAGTTATTTGTAGTTGAATAGCCCAAAAATCGCTATTTTGGCAAATTTCATGAATTTATTGTGAGTAAACCAAATTTTTTGAAATATTTCTGTCAATGGCATCGTATAGTACTCACCTTCATCTTTCGAATCCACTTTCGATTACCGCCGCACGATTTTTTTTCGCTCAGATATACAAGTCATAAGACTGGTCATCCATAGAGATCTAATAAGCCATTCTAAATCAACCGTGCCACCTCTTTATTTCACTACAAATCAAAATTAGGATAAAAATATACATTTTTAAACCTTCTGTCACTTTTTGAAATTAAAAATGGCGCATCCAATATGGCGAATAGAATCACAATAAAAAGGCATAAAATTTAGAAAAATTTATCAAAATGTGTAACAACTGTATTAGATATTTCTTTACAATACCTTTTTGGACAACCGAACTTGACATATGTCAGTCTTTTCAACTTTCAACATCATGGATCTACCATATTGATGTCTATATAAATTTTCTTTAACGTAAATTTTCTTACAACGTCATACTTATACAATATATCTCAGCAAAAAAAAATCGTGTGGCGATAATCGAAAGTGGATTTGAAAGGCGAAAGTGAGTATTATACGATGCCATCGGCAGAAATATTTCAAAAAATTTGGTTTCCTCGCAATAAGAAAATAACGATTTTTGAGCCATTTAATTACAAATTACTCAAAAACGCGACGTGCTACGCAAATTCGGCGACCAAATTCGAATTCAGCTCACAAAATTATGTCGGAAATCACTATTGCGTCTTAAAAAGAAAAATCTCGCAGGCATGGCAAAATCGTTGCCATATCCATCGTCGAGACAGTTAATTCTTTTTTCTAAAAAATATTAAAATTCTATAAAAATTCTATAAAAATAGAATCTTCACAATTGCCATTTGAAAACTCTATTCATTCAATACGAGCAATACGTTCAATACAGTATATCGATTGCAAACAATGTAGCGAGACATAATTAATTCTAGAAAAGCCGAGATCAAAAGGCCGAAATGGCAAGAAAGAAAGGTGAGACAGGGTTGTACTTTTGCGGGGAAATAATTGCATATTAATTCTATAATGACATAACTACTGTATAACGCGCGATCTCGCAAGTATTACGACACACAGGAAATTGATAATGCGCCTTGCCAAATGGCGTTTACAAGGAATCATTGATAGTTCTTAGTTATTCTTGAAGATGACTGAGCGAAGAGACGTTTGGCAAAATCGTTGTTACATAATTCCCAGAGTATATATGAGTTTGATAGGAATATGGCCTTATCATGCGTTTCGCGATAGATGCTTGCTCTTTGTGCCGATGTTTACATTCTCCCTCACCATCCTTATGCCCCAGGTATCTGCAGTTTATCGATCTATTTCTAAAGAAAATTATAATTACACATTATTTTCTTTTCGTATATTTTATAATTACACTATCCATCTAGAAATAAATAATTATAATCTAAAAATAAATAAATATTATTATCTAAAAATAAATAAATATATAATATATAAATAATTATATATTATAATATTATTATAATATCATATATTATATATTATATATTATATTATATATTATATATTAATATATTATAATATTATATATATATATAATATTATAATATATTAATTATATATTATAATTATATATTATAATATTAAATATATATAATTAATAAATAATTAATAAATAATATTATAATATTAATTATGACGTAGCTGTTGTACCTGCTAATCACCGCGACGAATCTTGTGCCGCGATGTATTCTCGTGTACCCCGTCGATGTGGATCACCATAATATTTAGCTTCAAATTAGGGAGCCTGATGATAAACAATAAGAAAGTATGCGACAATCGCGCGTATGAATTCCGTACGAAATGCGATCGATGCACGATAAATGTTAAGCTCTTAATTTATAAAGATAATCGGTGCCGCGGAAAATATGCGTGCTTTTATTTCTAGTTGAAAACTTGCCTTGAGACGATAGAGGACGATTGGTCCTCGTTGAGTAGCGATATGGAAAGAGCTGTTCTACGAAGACACAGTGCTTACGGGCAGTATATCACGATGACATACGGAGGTACGTCTTTGAGAAGAGTAGAAATTTTGAAATGGAAGACTTTGTTTCGATTTCTGGTGATATAACATACATACATATTAATTTATATCCAGTCTTCATGCAGTTTGTGGGAGTTCTTCTCATATTGAAGTCGCTCTTGGTGATACTAATAGAAGATACGTCGGACGCGACGATAACTTCCCTGGCAGCGGAATCGAAGCTACCGTTTCGCGTGGAATATGGTGAAAAATTCGGCCGATACCTGTACCCGATGACGATACACTGTTATCTAGCCGTATTCGCTCATATCAGTATCACAATCGCGGTCGACACCTTCTACATTGCTCTAGTTTGGCACGCGTGCGGGATGTTCGCGATTGTCGGGTAAGAATAAATCCGTAAGAATGACGATTATAAAATTGAGATGTATATTCGTGTGCGAATTTCCGTAATACGTCTTTCGTCTTCAAATCTCGAGCTAGTCCGAATAGACTGCGACTGATTTCGATCTTGCCAGGAGGAGCGTTATCATTTGAGCGGTTTCCAGAAACACGCTGGAATATATCGGCAAGGATAGCGACAACAATTTTGACCTGAAACCCGACAAAATAGTCGATGGCAATTACAGCAAAGCTCTGGAATGCTTACGCAAGCATCTGCATGTGATACAGTTGGGTTAACGTTAATGTTTTTGGACGTGAAGCTATCATATATATCGTCGTACATTTTGATTTCGTGCTTTCATAGATTCGCGGAGCTGATCGAGTCTACATTCTCGAATATATTCCTGGTCAGCGTTTGTTTGAACATGATTGGTGGCAGTATGATTGGTATACAGGTATATATATCAATTTTTATGTAAACTTTACAATAATATCTTCCGACGAAAAGATTTCTGTAACATGCTAATAATTAATATTTGATAAAAGTAATAGTTGCAATAAGTAATCCGACAGGATTCGCAGATCCAAGATTTTCAAGGAAAGAGATTTTGGAAACAGGATGTAGTAAAACATATATTTCAGGTGATTTTGAATTTGAACGACGCGAAGGATATTGTAGGTCCCCTCGCTATCTATATCGGTCAACTCATTCACCTCTTCCTGCAGTTCTGGTCGGCTCAACTTCTGTTAGATTACAGTATCGTTCCTTACCAATCAATGTAAGAAATGCTTCCTCTTTCAATTTAGTGTGAAATTATTCTAAGAATATATCAAGAAACACGGTAGTGTCTTACGTCTTTATCATCTTCATCAACACACATGTACGCAACACATAGAAAGAGAAAATATACAGTTCCTACTCTCAGAAGATTACGCTAGCGATGCTATGCGATATTAATAGCATGTGTCACTAGTGACATATGTTATTGACTGCATTTTGAATAGTGACACGTAATAAAGTGCAAGTTAAATAATAAATAATTAAAATATTAATTAAAAATTGGCAAATAAGAGTCAATAAGGTATGATAATTGGAGCGCAAAAAGTAAATAATAAATATCTATTTCACAAGCTAAATATTAATATATATAATACAATAAAAATATATTATTCTATATCTATTTTTCGGTCATTTGATTATAAAGGGTAGGCCATTTTAATCTACGCACTGAAAAATCTCAAAATTCATAAGTTTAAGACAAAAATGTTTCAGACAAAATTGTATGGTTTCGAGGGGACCATAAGAGGATATCATTGGTTTGAGGATATCATTGATTGAAGAGTCACCTGAAGATCATCTCCAACTTTTTAAATGGAACCGCCTACTTTTTATTACATATTCTTATAGCTTATCCCGAGAGCTTTCCAAAACACTATAATTAAGTTAGTTTTCATTAAGTACCTTCCGAGTTTTGAGGCTTGAAATCATTTCTTAATTTTGCATAAACCATAAAATATCTTGTAAAATATTCATTTTCGATTATCTTACCTTAATACTTTTATGTACAAAATAATGAGAGGAATCAATTGGTGTAAAGAAAACACATAGTTGTTTCGAAGAAAAAATATGTAATTTGCAATTAACAATTACATATTTTTTCTTAAAAATAACTATGTGTTTTCTTTACACCAATTGATTTTTCTCATTATTTTGTACATAAAAGTATTAAGGTAAGATAATCGAAAAATGAATATTTTACTAGATATTTTATAGTTTATGTAAAATTAGGAAATGATTCCAAGCCTCATAACTCAAAAAGTACTCAATGAAGAAATACTTTATTATAGTGTTTCGGAAAGCCCTTGAGATAAGCTATAAGAATATATAATAAAATGTACGCAGTTCTATTTAAAAAGTTAGAGGTAATCTTCACGAGCCCTTTAGGTGACTCTTCAAGGTCAAACCAATGGTACCTTCTTATGGCCCCCTCGAAACCATACAACCTTTGTCTGAAATATTTTTGTCTTAAACTTATGAATTTTGAGATATTTAAATATTTCAGTGCATAGATTAAAATGGCCTATCCTGTATAGATATAAAAAAAAAAAAAAAGATATATATATATATATATATATATATATATATACATATTTATGTACAAGTCTTGTACAAATTTTTATCCTTAGTTGGCACAAATTTTTATATATGACTAATTTTGTAGACAACAGTTAGATACAATATTATTAGATATTACAATAAAATTATATAATTCTTACTACTATATTTTTTTATACTTACGATAATTTAAAATCTTGATTTCTATTTTTTTTGTCACCAACTCCAGACTCAATAACTGCGAGGCTAAATTCTTACCTATTCCTAATTCTTATTTCTTTTTTCTTATTCAGAATTGACATTGATCTTTCGAATTGTAGTTGCAGGTCAAATTGGTATTACACTTCGAAGAGATGTCGAAAACTCCTTTTCTTAATCATGAATAGAAGCGTGTTACCATGTAGAATCACTGCTGGCAAGATCGTAGCTTTATCCATTGAAAGCTTCGGTACGGTAAGTAAAATTATACTATTGCTCTCTGTTAATACAGACATTATTTTAATATAATATATTAATATTATATAAATATAATATTATATTACAACAAAATTATAATAAAATTATAATATTATATTATTTGAAGAAAATAATTGGCGATGGTTTTATTCCTTGAAGGTTCTGAAAACATCGATGTCTTATTTCACGATGATGCGCTCCTTCAATTGATTATACCAACATCATGCGTGTCATCCAGCAGCTTGTTAATTAAATTTTAAAATTTACACGAGATTTTATCATGACAAAGTTTCTATCAATTTGGAATTAATTTAAAAATATAGAAAATATATTATGGAAAATATATTATGGAAGATTTTAATGAAGTTTCAAAACTCATACCTTTCACTGCAAATTCATAATAACAGTTCAGGAAACACTTGCGTGTTTTCTTTTCACGACTTAATTGTTGAAAAACAAAATCTTTGCTAATTAGAAATTCAGTTTGTTCAGTTCTTAAAACAGCCGCAAGGCTTTAGACGTACAATAATAACGAGGAAGGGGAGAATAATTGCGTGTTCATTATTATAATGACAGAAGGGATATACATGTCATATACGCGCCGCAACACAAGGAATTGTTAATAATGTTTCGCGTTTTACAAAACTAAATTCACAATCGTTGAATCGTTTGCCCAGTATTTCCGACGATGACCACCGCACAAAGAAGCATTTGGCAAAGTCGCTATTATATGGTAATGAGGATGTATATGACATTAGTGGGAATATGGCCATATCTTACGGTCAACACTAGGTATCTGCGTTTCGTGACGACGTTTATGTTCTCCATGGGTATCGCTGTACCCCAGGTATTCCAATGCACCTCCAATATATTGCGTCCTCTCGAAGTATTTATTACGCGCAAAGAATTTATTCATCTCACGAAAAAATTAAAATTATACATTTCTTCATTTCCTGATATTATCGATGTATTCTACGACATGATTTCAAAATAGATTCTATATCTGCTAAACGATTCGATCGACATTGATGAAGTGTTCGAATGCGTGCCGTCAATAGCAATCGCTATAATGTTCAGCTTAAAATTAGTGAACGTGATGATACACAGTGAAAAAGTAGGTATATTGAGATTACGCGTGAATTCAGTGGTACGATTAATATCAGGTAATTACTTAACGAAATTCAATACAAGGAAAAAATATTTATATTTATAGGTAAAAGTCTGTTTTAAAACGATGGAGGAGGACTGGCTATCGCTGAAGACGGATGTCGAAAAGGCTATTTTGCGACAATACACCGAATATGGACAGTATATGTCGACTTCGTATGCGCGTATGTATTAGTATAAAATTATTCATGAAGATTTTACAGTTTGTATCAATTGATAAAATTACATTCTTTGGAAAGACGCCTTTTATGTCCTACAGAGATATGATTTTTTTATTATAAATGTTTCAATATTGAGTATAAAAATATCTAGAAAAAATATGGAAGAAATTCACAAAAAATTTTCTTTCCTTGTTCTCGTCTTTTTATATTGCACATATATTCTTTTTAGAAGAATGCTTTTGATATATTGATAAAATTACATTTTTTGGAAAGACGCCTTTTATGTCCTACAGAGATATGATTTTTTTATTATAAATGTTTCAATATTGAGTATAAAAATATCTAGAAAAAATATGGAAGAAATTGAAAGAATGCTTTTGATATATTTAACATATCATGGTAACTTTAATTATTTATTAAAGGGAGAATTCACTTATATATAAAATATATTGTTCGTGTAAATTTTTAGTAATCATACTTGTCCCGGCATTGTCTCACTTACTTAAACCTATCATCACGACGCTAAAGGAAAACGATATCGAGAATATAACAAAATCATCGATATCAAGATCATCGAAATTGCCCTTTCGCGTCGAATATGGCGAAAAATTGGATCAATATTTTTATGTAATAATGGTCCACTGTTGTCTAGCTGTATTCGCTCATCTTGTCGTAACGGTTGCGGTTGATAGCTTTTATTATACTGTTATCCAGCATGCTTGTGGAATGTTTTCAATTATTGGGTAAAAATATCGGGCATATTAAAGATGACCAAAAATTGATGATAAAATTTAAGAGAAAAATATTTTCCCTCAACGCTTTCTTGTACGCTTTCAGACACATGCTGGAGAATATTGGCAAAAATGATGATGCCAATTTAGAGGAAAACAATATAAAAGACAACAATTACAGTATAGCACTGGAATGTTTACGTAAACATCTTCACGTATTAGAGTGACGTATTATGTGTTAATGACATAATTTGCTTGTCTCTCTCTTTTCCTTTTACTGTTAATCATTTTTTTGAGCAAATAATATCCTTTATAAAAATTGATATTTTTGATTATATTGTGTGTATAAATGCGTTAAGATTCCTGATTTTGCAGATTTGCCGGACTAATCGAGTCTATATTTACGAATATGTTTTTGATAAGTGTAAGTTGTAATGTGATGATGGGCAGTTTATCTGGTATACAGGTATGAATCGGTATTTTTCTTTGAAGCAACCAAAGAAATTTTATAATTTAATTACGATTAATAGTTAATAAAAAGACAGAAAGACAGTATTTCAATCTGTAATTTCAAGCAAATGTTTTTCAGGACATTGTTATACACACACACACACACACACACACACACACACACACACACACACACACACACACACACACACACATATATATTATATATACAGCTATACAGGATGGTCCACGTACAGTGTTACAAATTTATATCTCGGAAACGAAGCAATTTGGAGAAAAATGTTTCAGATAAAAGTTGTGTGATGTCAAGGGGGACATAAGATGGTGCCATTAGTTTGATCTTAAAAAATATTTTATGATTTATATAAAATTAAGAAATGATTTCAAGCCTTATAACTCAAAAACTACTTGAGGGAAAAATATTTTATTATAGTGTTTTGAAAAGCCCTTGAGGTAAGCTACAAGAATATGTAATAAAACGTAAGCGATTCTATTTAAAAAGTTGGAGGTAATCTTCACGTGACCTTCAGGTGACTCTTCAAAGTCAAACTAATCACCATCTTATGTTCCCCTTCAAACCATACAATTTTTGTCTGAAACATTTTTCTTTAAATTGTTTTGTTTTCGAGATATAAATTTGTAACACTGTACGTGGGCCATCCTGTATATATATATATATATATATATATATATATATATATATATATATATGAAAATTAATTAATCCTAATTGAAATCACGAAATGTTTTGATTTAAAAAATTAAGTTTATCTTCCAGGTGATAATGAATTTAAATAGTGCGGGCAATATTGCAACACCTCTATCTGTCTATTTTGCACAACTCACTCATCTCTTTCTACATTTCTGGCAGGGCCAATTTCTATTGAATTTTAGCGATGTTCCATATAAATCTATGTTAGTTCTTTGAACTATGTGATACTATTTATTTTTAATCTATTCTTTCATATGTAATATAGGCACTTACACACATACACTCACATTTATTTGATTTAAAAAAATTTGTTTTCTCGAAACTTTTACCTTAAATGGAAGAAATTGTTTATTTCATTTAAGCAAAATCATTTAATTTTAATTAAATATGCATGTTATATTAAGTACATTATTTTAATTTATATATTTTTTACATTTAAATACTATTTTCGTAAAATATATACTATAATTTATTAAATTAAATATATTATTTTTTTAAATTTAAAAATTTAAAATTTTTGGGAATAAAAAATGCATTTTAATAAATATTTTGTAAAATTAAAATAAAAGTATTTAATTAAAAATTATATTATTTTAAGCATATATATTTTTTAAACATATGTAAATAAATACTTAACTTAAGCAAACAGACGTTTTGAATACAAGCAAATAGGTGATTAGTACGCACCAAATAAATAGCTTTCTTGAGTTAACTAAAATTTTTTTATCTCAAGATAATTTTTTCCTCAGTGTATGATTCAATTTTGTATTAAATCATTTTTTGCATTAATCATTTTGTATTAAATCAAACAATTTTTTTATCACAAAATATAAATGTTACACATATAAATGTTTTTATTACTAGTCATCCAGAATAACATGGATCTTGTTTTGTGTTACAGTTGCAGAGCAAGATGGTATCGTACTTCACGAAAGTGTAAGAAGATCCTTATATTAATTATGAGCAGAACTATGTCACCCTGCAAAATAACTGCCGGCAAGGTCGTGACTTTATCAATCGAGAGTTTTAGCGCGGTAAAGTAAAATTATACACTTGTATTTATTTTTTTATAATTATTTATATACATAACACTTTGAATAATTATATAAAAAAGTACGGCGAGAGATTTGATATTTTTTAAAGGTCCTCAGAACGTCGATGTCTTATTTAACGGTCCTACGTTCCTTCCAGTGATAATATTATCATCTCGAGAAGTAGTTGTTAGTAATACATTTTTTTAGTATAATAAAATTGTATACATGGAATTTCTCTTTGTTTTTTTTCTTACTGTCTTTCTGAAAATAAATATCAGACTGATTATGGGATATGATCCACAAATCATGTATTTATGAATATTCTAGAATTCATCGGCAATACATCTCATGTGCGTTAATTTTAATAACGTAGAATTAAATTTGATGGACTTAAATTTCAGAGACATCGAAATATGTATTAATGCTAATTGTTTCATATTTTCACATCCATTTGTTATATTTCTTCTATTTTCTTTTGTTATTAACATATTCGTTATTTATGTAGTTTAGATTTCAAATAAACAACAAGAAGAAAGTGTTGTATTTTCCCCTGCGCTTCAACCGCGCTGTGGCTCAATTTGTATTAATTTTTCTTGTATTATTCTTTTATTATTATCATTATTTTATTATTACTTTTCTAATTGTTTCAAAAGCAAGGTTTCCGAAAACGGAATTATTTGATATTAAAAATCTTGCCTGAAAATTGATTCAGACACAAAAGGAAATATGGGCAGGAAAAAACATGTTCTTCTCGCGATTAATTAATCATTTAAAAATAAATAATTATATATTATAATATTAATTTTGACGTAGCTATTGTACTTGCTAATCACCGCGACAAATCTTGACGATTATGGATCATAATATTTAGCTTCAAATTAGGGGGCTGAATAAACAATAAGAAAGTATGCGACAATCGCGCATATAAATTCCGTGCGAAATGCGATCGATGCACGATAGATGTTAAGTCTATGTTAAGTCTATGTTAAGTCTCTTAATTTATAAAGATACGTGCCGCGGAAAATATGCGTGAAAATATTTCTAATTGAAAACTTGCCTTGAGACAATAGAAAGCGATTGGTTCTCGTTGAGTAGCGATATGGAAAGAGCTGTTCTACGAAGACATAGTGCTTACGGGCAGTATATCACGATGACATACGGAGGTACGTCTTTGAGAAGAGTAGAAATTTTGAAATGGAAGACTTTTTTTCAATTTCTGGTGATGTAACATACATACATATTAATTTATATCCAGTCTTCATGCAGTTTGTGGGAGTTCTTCTCATATTGAAGTCGCTCTTGGTGATACTAATAGAAGATACGTCGGACGCGACGATAACTTCCCTGGCAGCGGAATCGAAGCTACCGTTTCGCGTGGAATATGGTGAAAAATTCGGCCGATACCTGTACCCGATGACGATACACTGTTATCTAGCCGTATTCGCTCATATCAGTATCACAATCGCGGTCGACACCTTCTACATTGCTCTAGTTTGGCACGCGTGCGGGATGTTCGCGATTGTCGGGTAAGAATAAATCCGTAAGAATGACGATTATAAAATTGAGATGTATATTCGTGTGCGAATTTCCGTAATACGTCTTTCGTCTTCAAATCTCGAGCTAGTCCGAATAGACTGCGACTGATTTCGATCTTGCCAGGAGGAGCGTTATCATTTGAGCGGTTTCCAGAAACACGCTGGAATATATCGGCAAGGATAGCGACAACAATTTTGACCTGAAACCCGACAAAATCGTCGATGGCAATTACAGCAAAGCTCTGGAATGCTTACGCAAGCATCTGCATGTGATACAGTTGGGTTAACGTTAATGTTTTTGGACGTGAAGCTATCATATATATCGTCGTACATTTTGATTTCGTGCTTTCATAGATTCGCGGAGCTGATCGAGTCTACATTCTCGAATATATTCCTGGTCAGCGTTTGTCTGAACATGATTGGTGGCGGTATGATTGGTACAGGTATACAGGGTGGGGAAAAAGTATGGAAACAAACAATTATTTCCGAAACTATTCATTTTTCGACAAAATGTCTTAGACATAATTTTTATGGTATGAAAAGATGTATTATGTGGCATAGACGGCATGACCTTGAAATGACCCTTACAAGCTGCATACAAATAACGTAAAAAATTTCAAATGGAACTCGTCAGTTTTTGTTACAGATTCTTGTAGCTGATGTCGAAACGTTTACAAAATACTGCATATGAGCCCCATTCCCTTAAAAACACTCCCAGTTACGAAACAATTGTGATACAAACAATTTGTATGCACATTGACATTGCTTACTGATTTCGCATCATGACGTTCAGTTGCGTCCACTAATAACTAATAATCGCACTTATCTTGCCTTAACTGGTTGGATGAATCGCACTTATCTTGTCTTAACTGGTTGGATGAATCGCACTTATCTTGCCTTAACTGGTTGGATGAATCGCACTTATCTTGTCTTAACTGGTTGGATGAATCGCACTTATCTTGCCTTAACTGGTTGGATGAATCGCACTTATCTTGTCTTAACTGGTTGGATGAATCGCACTTATCTTGTCTTAACTGGTTAGATGAATCGCACTTATCTTACCTTAACTGGTTAGATGAATCGCACTTATCTTACCTTAACTGGTTGGATGAATCACGCAATCTCTTTCCTTGAGTACGGTTCGATGTACGCCTTAACTGATTCTACGAACTTCGCGTGTCTTTCGTATCGGCAGAAATGATCGAAGCGGGTTATTTTCCATTTGTTGCAGTAATCGCTACTGTTGTACTGATCTCTCATAATGACGTTCAGTCGCGTTACACACATTCATGTAATCACACGTACGCTGTCTATTTTCAATTTCGTCGATACGAATTATCACAATTGTTTCGTAACTGGGAGTGTTTTTAAGGGAATGGGGCTCATATGCAGTGTTTTGTAAACGTTTCGACATCAGCTACAAGAATCTGTAACAAAAACTGACGAGTTCCATTTGAAATTTTTTACGTTATTTGTATGCAGCTCGTAAGGGTCATTTCAAGGTCATGCCGTCTATGCCACATAATACATCTTTTCATACCATAAAAATTATGTCTAAGACATTTTGTCGAAAAATGAATAGTTTCGGAAATAATTGTTTGCTTCCATATTTTTTCCCCATCCTGTATATATCAATTTTTATGTAAACTTTACGATAATATCTTCCGACGAAAAGATTTCTATAACATGTTAATAATTAATATTTGATAAAAGTAATAGTTGCAATAAGTAATCCGATAGGATTCGGAGATCCAAGATTTTCAAGGAAAAAGATTTTGGAAACAGGATGTAGTAAAACATATATTTCAAGTGATTTTGAATTTAAACGACGCGAAGGATATCGTAGGTCCCATCGCTATCTATATCGCTCAACTCACTCACCTCTTCCTGCAGTTCTTTCCAGCTCAATTTCTGTTAGATTATAGTATCGTTCCTTACTAGTCAATATAAGAATATGCTTCCTCTTTCAATTTAGTGTGAAATTATTCTAATAAGGAGATGCACGAATGTATCTTCCTCTGATTTTGATGAATTTTTAATATGTTGTTTTCTAGATAAAATTAAGAAACGTATTTTTTTTGTGCGCATACGCATGTTTAAGGGTTAAAAAATACCCCTTTGAAAAAAATCGGTTTTTTTCTTTCAAGATAAATATTTCCGAAACTATAAGAGATAGAAAAAATTTTTTAAAAGTTAAATAGTTTTAAGAGTACTTTACAACAATGACAAAACATTTTATTTATTTTTAATTTTTCAAAATCCCCACCACTAAACTTTTTTTTCAATTTTGAAATTTCTTTATCATCAAATAAAAGGTTATTTTCTTGCAAATACAACCATATATGATTATTGATTAAGTTACACTGAGTGAAAAATTTTGTTAAATCAAATAAATTTGTTTTCTTAAAACTTTTACTTTAAATGGAAGGAATTGTTTATTTCATTTAAGCAAAAGCATTTAATTTTGATTAAATATGCATGTTATATTAAGTACATTATTTTCATTTATATATTTTTTATATTTAAAAACTATTTTCGTAAAATATATACTATAATTTAAATTAAATATATTACTTTTCAAAATTAAAAAATTTAAAATTTTTGGGAATAAAAAATGCATTTTAATAAATATTTTAAAATTAAAATAAAAATATTTAATTAAAAATTATATTTTTTTAAGCATATATATTTTTTAAACATATGTAAATAAATTAACTTAAGCAAACAGACGTTTTGAATACAAGTAAATACGTGATTAATACCCATCGGATAAATAGCTGTCTTGAGTTAACTAAAATTTTTTTATTTCAAGATAATTTTTTCCTCAGTCTATGTTTCGAAAAATCATTTTCCAGGATTTATTATAAACCTCTCTGATTATAAACCTCCAGGATTAATTATAAACCTCTCTGTAAATACGCTACTTGTGTTTGTCCATGTGCTCGATTCTTCGCGCAATATATCCTGTATTTCTTTAATAGAAGGTAACTAGCAGATACATTTGAAGATATATTTTATGTAATTATCATAGTTTTTATCGTAGACATTTATAACTCCAAACATAATATTTGAATATATAATAAATATTATACATCAAGATATATAAGAAATATTGTTTTGATTCTTTAAATAACAAGAATATCGTAATTCATATCTTCTTTTGAAATTTCCTCATTCACCGTGAGACGCTTGTTCAATAAAAAGACGGAAATTTTATGTCATGTGTGAATGACGTCTGTGCTTTTTTCACAAAAGTACCAAGAAATTTCTTCAATACTCTAAAAAAGTAAAAATTTGTCATAATTGTGTTGATTTTACAAAGGCGTAAAAGTAAAATCGTAAGAGAAATATAAATTGATAGACATAATTTATTTAAAATATCAATAAATATTAGGTGATAAATTAAATTCCTGTCGGTTTTAGTCTTTAAAATTGATTTATTTCCAAGAGAAGATGAATAAACCTTAATCAAAGTAATTTCCTCCATTTTCTACTACTATTTCCCATCTCTCCGACAGCAGGGTAATCCCACGAAGGTAAAACGCGACGGGACGTTCCTTGTCTCTCACGTCAAAATCGCCATTTCGAAAGCGTTCAAACCAACATCTACATGTTCTTTCCGATGGAGTTTCATCACCATACACTTCGAATAATAAGCGATGCGTTTCAGCTGCGG